TCTTATCTTAGCAAGTACCATTTTGATAATAGCATTCTGCTCACAGTAATATCTCATTTTTTTAATTTTCAAGTGAAAAGGTTATCTTTTTTTAAAATACGTCTAAAAAATAAGGAAGTGGCTATTTTGCCGACTCTGATTAAAATATTTGTTTTTTGTAATGATGGTAAATTCTCTTGATAATTTTCAGCGTATGACTCACAGTCAGACAGAAGACTATATTCTGTTCTCCATGGAATATACAGATAAAGTTCTGAGTGGTAATAAGACTCTGGTTCACGTTGAATACTGAACGCATGGTATCTGATTAACACTGGTTTCTTGCGTTTTTTCATGTTGATATCCTCTGTTGATGTACTAATAACAAACTTCTCTGAAAGGCCTGATATCTTATCTAGGACTAGATTTGACAAAATGTTGTCTTCTGCCAAAATGTCTGTTTGTACATCATTCTGTTCCTTTGGTGAAGAACATTTTGTATACCACATGACAAATTGTGCTAAACAGCATGGTTCTAACTCCTTTGGCCTACATGTATATTTTACGTCTAAGCCCGTCATAAATATGTTTTCCTCATCATCTTCCATTTGTTGTAGAAATGACTTTGGTTTCAGTAAATGCACTCTTTGGTGAGGTAATCATGTTGGTATCCAAACTGTCTAAAAATATGATTTATACAATGGAAGTCCAAGTAATCTGTATGTAGCTTCTTGTGCACTTACTGTTCGACTATTACTAAAGGCTTGTGCACATTTCCTCATTTGTTGTTTCACCCCTCGATTGTAATTTTCTTTGCTTACAGCCTGAAGAAGATGACCCATTTCTCTTTCTTCTTTTGGAATATAAGCAACCAAGTACTGAATGCAAGCATATGCATTTGAAACAAATTGGATATCCATATTTGCTTGCCAGGCTTTAAGTATTCTAGGATTGTAATTATTTATCAGAATGTCACTTGGTGTTCTCATCATGAAAACAGTAGGAACCTTAACCGAATTCACAAGTTGAATCAAGTATTCTTCTTCTGTCAAATTACACTGTGTCAAAACATCTTCTATGGATAATGTTTCAAATTCAGGAGTGTTATGTAAAAATTCCTTAACTTTTGATAAAATACTGGCTGCTAACTTGAATTTCACAGATTGTTCAGCTGGATTTTTATCAGATTTTGAAGGTCTGGCAAAAACTGTTTTAGATGTGACAGGTTTTGGATAATTAAATCTGCACATTTTTCCTGTTTTTGTACATGCTGGTGTATGTGTGTGTCTTTGCAGAATGTTAACCAAGTCGTAGAGTTCTTTATCATCTTCTTGTGACGGAAGTGTTGAATGAATATACTTGTCAATGAATGTTTCTATGGAAGCAATTGAACTTTCTTCTGGGTTTGGTGCATCCTTAATCCAGATAACTCCATGGCAATGTGGTGACCCCCTCTGCTGGAATTCAATGCGATAAAAATAATCCCCAAGAGGTTTAGCTTTCGATAGAATGATGTCCTTGAAAAGACAGTCTAATCTAAACTGGAAGTGTCTAACCGCAGTAACAGGATTTGAACGTAACATAGCACATTTGTCATTCCAGGAAAGATTGTTTATTTTTTCATCTGACATAAATATTCCTCTTTGTCTACCTATTGCCTGGATAGTGTCCGTCCATTTGAGATCAGCAGCTGACAAAGTAAAAAACCAAGTAAAAATTCCTAACTGCTTTATTGCAGAAAGTAATTAGTATTGTACCTTCTGCCAGTAAGGTGGTGATCCTCTGATTGGTTGCAGACCTCTATATCCCTGATCATTAAACGTGTATAAATTTAATGACTGAGGGTTCTTCGCCAAACCTGCTGTCAATGTTTCATTTAGAGTTGCTCCTGTAAATGATTTACGAAGAGCAATATTCATGCTATCAAGTATCTGTTTTGTCTCCGTAATAGACTGTGCAACATATAGATACTCCACATCTGAGGCAAATGTTTGATGTTCATCTAAGATTCTCTTTTGAAAATAATTTTTGGCTGATAGTCTTACTTTGCGTTCATGCTTCCATCCAAATTCTCCTGTAGGTAAGAGGTGTGAGAATGCTAGTTCTTCAAAATTATCATCCATCATAAAATTTATAGGTCTTCTCCCCTCTCCAGGAGCAATGGAAGTCTAGAAACTGAATCTTCTGTATAGTCATCTTCACTTTCAGAATCAGAGACTTTAAGACTGTCATCAAAATCTGTTTTATCTAAATTATTGTCTTCATAATTGAGAGGTTTTTTGTTACCTTGAACAGTCAATTCAGTTTGAAGATCACAGTCATTTTCCACTTTATCAATAGAAATGTTTTTTTACATTTTTTAGTATCATCTTCATCAATTATCTCTATTGCACTGATTTTAGAAAGATCTGTCCATGTTTACTCGTCTTCTCCTTCACATTTCTTTTCTAATTCATGACATTCTTGAACATTTTTATAGAAAACATTATTTTCCTTAAGCCAGTGAAGAGCAGACAATACTTTCTTTGGTCTGATATATTGAAATTTAACATGTCCTTTGTAAACAATTTTTCTTTTTAGCTTAAGTGGTAAAGTTCCTCCTTCAAGTTGTGTGCGAGGTAGTGATGAGCAAATAGCTCCTTCATTTACAAGAACATTAACTACTGTGCCTTTAATTCCACTTTGTTGGCCTTTTGGCAAAGCTATCAACTTCATAAATGGGCACCGTTTTGAAATTAACCGTCTCTCAAGTGGTGACAAGTCTTCCAGTTCATGAGGTTGAGGTGCCACTTCTAGGTCATTATAGTTGGCTTGAGATGGTATTTTTTGCTTTTTTATGTAAGAAGAACAAGTACTACATATCCATTCCTTATTACATACTGATGTTCTGCCAGTAATGCAGTTTTCTAAAATTGAGTTTTTAATTTTGTTAAATTTACTGTTTGAAACTACAGTTACGCTTCTTTTATAAAGTATTCTCCTACAACATGTGCATACATATTCTGGATACTGCTGAATAGTTTTCTTAAAGTTGCTTATAATGTCTATCAATTCATGTGGATTTCGCTTAGTTTGTTTTCTTTTCTGTTCCTTCTTCTTGATCTCTTGTATCCATCCTAAAGATAAAAGTTTTCTTCTTTTCTTTCTTCTCTCTAGTTTTTGTTTTGAAAGTTGCTGTTTTTTTTAAAGGTTTTTAATTGTCTTATATCTATGTTTTTTAATTCGCTCAGATTCTAGAAATGTGTTTTTCTTCAACTCTTCACAATTAAGCTGTTTTTTTTTTGGTTTTTTCACGCTGACTCTTTTTACGTTCGGATTCTTGGTCTGCTTTTTGTTTCAACACATCAGGAGTAAGCTGTTTTTTTGTTTTTTTACGTATACTTTCGGATTCTTGGTCTGCTTTCTGTTTCAACACATCAGGAGTAAGCTGTTTTTTTGTTTTTGCACGATGACTCTTGATACGTTCGGATTCTTGGTCTGCTTTCTGTTTCAACACATCAGGAGTAAGCTGTTTTTTTTTTGTTTTTTCACGATGACTCTTTATACGTTCGGATTCTTGGTCTGCTTTCTGTTTCAAACTTTTTTTTGTTAAATTTCTGTATTGCTTGATGCGTTTTGCCACCAGATTTTTTTCTGTTTTAATTCTTCTGATGTCAGAGAATCTTTGTTTTTTTCTCTATATATTTTTTTCCTTTGAGTTTCTTATTTCCTCCCATCATTCAACTGTTCATGCTTTAGATTGTCTGTGTGTTTTTGTTGAATTTGTTTATTATGCTGCAACTGTTGAAACTTGAATTCCTTTAGCAATTGGTCAGGCATAAATTGTATTTTACTCTTGGTGTTTATTGAAGACTGGGTTTGAGCATTTGATTGGTAGTCCATTTGCTTGAACGAATCTTCTATTTCTGAAGTTTTGCCAAAGTGTTTTTGTATTTTTGCTTTCACTAATTGTTCTCTTGGAACTACTTTTCACAGTATGCATACTTGTACAGGAAAAAGAAACTTTCATGAGTGCTGCAAATCTGCCAATAAAAGAAAACAAGTTAAAAAAAATCTATTTCGTTTATGTTATATTCCAGTCAAAATTTCATAAAGAATGTTTATATTTTTTGCTTATTATGTGCACACTGTTGTTTTAAATCCAGTCAATATTTTGGTCTTGGCAAAGCGAATTGTGAGTAAAAGAAAACCACATGTACACATGGTGAAATACAACTTAAAGCATTTTTACAAAATCTAATCTGATTATAATAACTTGTATTGCATGGAAACCTCATGCCATATATTTGGTTTTATGAACTTCATTCAGCAAACTTTTCAATTTTATTGATAAAGAATAAAAGAAAAGTTGTCATTCCGTTTCATTTGATTTAATTTTATGAGCCAAACTTTTTCGAATAAACTTTAGTTCTTCCTTTTATTTTTGTCAATAAAAGACTGGTAGCAAGTGAATTTCTCTTTGTTTTTTTTTTTGTTTTTATCCTGGTGGTCTATCTAGCTTGCACATTTTGGCCCTTGTTAATTGTTTAAGCTATAGATATTTTCCTTCTTCCTTTTTAAATTATATAAATGTGTTCTATGTTTATCTCCTGATCTTACTTTGTGTTTACAATGTGAAATGATTCTTACCTGTTTTCTTTTTTTTTCTTTGTCCTCTAACCTTTTCACAGCAATTGATTTGTTCTTTTTTTTTTGTGGCATCATTGCACTGTCTGTAATTTTTGTGTCACTCTTTCTCTTACTTAATGGATTGGTTTGGATTTCGGACTGGTTTTCAATACGCTTTATCATATTTGATGTTACACTATGTGTTGTTTTTTATGTTCTTTTAAGCATGAATTCTGTTTTTGTGTCTTTAGTAGTTTGTTGATGGCCTTTTACAGCTTGTAATTCTTTTAACTTGAATTCCTTCAGCAATTGGTCTGACATCAAATGTGTTACAATCTTTTTGTTCAGTGATGTCTGCGTCTTAAAAATTGATTGGTTGTCAATTTGATTAAAGGAATCTTCTGTTTCTGAAGTTTTGCAAAAAGTTTTTTTTTTATTTTTGCTTTCACTAATTGTTCATTTTAAGGAAATTCTTTCACAGTTTCCATACTTATACAGGAATTAGAACTTTCATGTGTGCTGCAAATCTGCAAATAAAGGAAACAATTTAATATGACAAATTTATGTTTTTACACAAAAGCCATCATAAAAATATTTTTTAATTTTTTAGTTATTATATGTTAGCCATTGTTTAAGCCATAGATGTTTTTTCTTCCCTTTTTAACTATATTATATGTTTATCTCCAGATCCTTTCTTTTTATTTACAATATGTGTGACATATGCTGAAACAATTCTTACCTGTTTTCTTTTTCTTTTTCTGTCCTCAATCCTTTTAACAGCTATTGATTTTTTTCTTTTTTTGTGGCATCATTGATCTGTTAAGACACTTTTTATTTCCTAAAAAAAAAACCAGTTATATTTCAATCTTTAACATTCAACAATTTACAATGGTGAAGTACAATTTTAAAGAACAACAAACATAACTTGCATGTAAATATAAAATAAAGAGCTGCGCCATGAGCGCATGATACGCCCGTCCCGTTTTCAAAGAATAAAGTTCAACAACTTCTCAATGTCATATCAGAAATTCATAAAAATCGAAAGGGAGCTTACGTCAATTGATATAAACAATTTTCTAAAGTTTCATAAGAACTGCTGAAAGCATTTTTCATTTATTGTCAGAAAACTAGAAAAAAATCCCCCCTTTTTTAATGAATGAAACCCCATAACTAGGAAACGTAACATCTAAAATTTATAAAAATAAAAAATTCCCCTTTTTTTATGAATAAAACCCCATATCTCGGAAACGCAAAATCTAAGATAAAACAAAAACGAAAGAGAACTCACGTCAATAGATATAAACAATTTACCAAAGTTTTATGCAAATTGGTTAAAGCGTTTTTGAGATATTGTCCGACATGTTGACGACAGACATACGGACATACATACGGACATACGGACGGACAACGGTATACCATAATACGTCCCGTAAACGGGCGTATAAAAATCAAAATACATATTTAGATTCAGCATATCAAAGAACCCTAAGAATTCAATTATTGTTAAAATTAAAATAAGTTTAATTTTGGACCCTTTTTGGACCTTAATGTGGACCAACTTGAAAACCAGACCTAAAATCAAATAATTAGATATACACTTAGATTCAGCACATCAAAATTTAAAATCCAAATACACGGTTGTATTCAGCTGAGCATATAATAAAAAACCCAATAATTCAACTTTTGATGAAATCAAAGTATAATTTTGGACTCCTTGTACCTCAGCTTGGACCAATTTGTTAATGGGGCCCAAAATATAAAATCTAAATACATGGTTAGATTGATCATAACAAAGAACCCCATCTACATCATTTTTTGTTGAAATTTAGAAATTAAATTAAACATATACCAATTAAAAATAAATCATTATATTTAGATATACAAAAAACTCTTTTTAAGAATAATGTATTTTAAAAAGACAAACAGTTTAAAAAAACATCACTTACCTTAACTTTCACCTCAACAGATGGAACTTTCAACCATAACAAATCATTTAAATACATGATAACAATCTTAAAATAGAACAATGATAACAATCTTAGAATACAACAATACATAATCAGTAAAATTAAAATATCTGAATCAGCAAAATTCTTAATGGGGTAGTAAGATCTAAAAATAAAATGACAGCTTCTCATTTGCATATCACCTCAAAGCTAAGAAATAATTTAAAAGCTTCGTGATAACAATCTTAAATTAGAACAATATATAATCAGTAAAATTAATATATCTGAATCAGCAAAATTCTTAGTAAGATCTAAAAATAAAATGACAGCTTTTCGTTTGCATATCACCTTAAAAGGTAAGAAATAAATTTAAATCTTCATGATAACAATCTTAGAATACAACAATACATAATCAGTAAAATTAATATATCTGAATCAGCAAAATTCTTAGTAAGATCTAACAAGAGGCTGTCAGAGTGACAGCAAACCGGATTTTCCTGCAGAGGTCAAACCCTGAACAGTTGAGCAAGTATGGACACTTCATTTAAGCTTAAAACTGCTCTGAGTTTGGATTGTGGTTGAATATTTGACACAGCATAGGTTTGTGACACAAAATGAATGTGGTCAAAGAACTGAAATATTTGAAATTGGACATTTACCTATTATGGTCCAATATCCAAAATCTAAGTACATTGTAAGAATCAGCATATCAAAGAACTCCAAAAATTCATTTTTTAATGAAATCAAACAAACGTTTAATTTAAGACCCTTTGGACCACAATGTTGACCAATTTGATAAAGGAGATCACAATCCAAAATCTCTCAATACATGGTAAGATTCAGCATTTCAAGGAACCACATAAATTCAATTTTTGTGAATCAAACGAAGTTTAATTTTGGACCCTGATTAGGACCAAGTTGGAAACTGGGCCCAAAAATCTAATATTTAAATACAGGTTTAGATTCAGCATTTGAAAGAACCCTATATATATTTAATTTAAGTTGAAATGAAACACAATTTAATTTTATCCATATATTTTCTGTGCAAAGGGAAATAACTCAAACTTGATAAATAGATATGATTATAATGAATAAAGTGATGACTAAGTTCTAAAAAATTAGATATGATGTAATTTTTTCAAATTATAATCAATAATATAATAACAACAACCAGTGATGAGTAAGTTCTCATAAATTAGATAAGATTTAACACTCAAACATTGTTAAAATCAGCATATCAAAGAACCCAATAATTCAATTGTTGATTAAACAAAAGTTTAATTTAGGACCCTTAGTACCTCGATGTGTTATTATCTAACTAATAATGAAAATAAATACAGGGTTAGATTAAGCATTTCAAAGAACCCTATATATATATTTAATTTATGTTGAAAACTGGGCCCAAAATCAGAAATCTAAATATATGTTTATTAATAGACAATATCAGCTAAGTTTTGAAAGGAGTTCACCTAATCAAAAAAATATATATTGCATTAAGAAAATTAGTTTTTACAGAATAACAAACAATTTACAATTTACCAAAGTAAAGAAAAAAAAATCAAAAATTTTATTTATCATTAATACAATGTCTTTTAAAAATCTATAAATCTTATCTGTAATTATCTTCAAAATGTCTAATAATGAACAGTAAATTTCTAACTATATTTACTTCTATATAGCTTTTAATCATCAACACTTAGAAAAAAGAAAATTTTCAAATAAATCTGTCACTCAAGATAAGACATTAACCATATGTTTAGTAAACTGATTACAGGACATATAAACAGGTGAAAATTATCTATGAAGGCTTAGTGTAATCAAACTTTATGTACATAATTAACAATTTCTGTTCAAAGGAAAATAACTCAATCACAAAAAAGATCCCAGGGGACTCGACTTTTATTTCATTTGATTTGTTTTATTGTAATATACAAGAAGCAAAATGGTTTCAGGGTGGGGATCTTGACTGTTTACAAGTTTTCAAAAAAAGGGGGTGGGGGTTACCCCAGGGGACTTCCCCTAAATTTCATTTGATTTGTTTTATTGTAACATACAAGAATATATATGGTTTCAGGGTGGAGAGCTTGCACATTTACAAGTTTTCAAAAAAAAGGAGGGTAAGTGTGAACCCGAGGACTATCCCAATATTTCATTTGATTTGTTTTATTGTCCCATACAAGAATATATATGGTTTAGGGGTGGGAATCTCGACCGTTTACAAGATAATAGCACATTCTAAAAATGAAGGGGGTAGGGGTTAGAATATATATGATTTAGGGACCCTTAATTATCTACAAAATGTCTAATAATGAACAGTAAATTTCAAACTTCATTTATACAGTCCTACTAGTAAGTTTCAAACTTTATATATACAGTCCTACAGATCTTATCAGAAAACAGAAAATTTTCAAATAAATTTGTCACTCCAATGATTATCATATGCTAAAATATTTCCAGATCTAATTAATAATGAAAATAAATCATTATCATATGCTAAAATATTTCCCAGATCCAATTGAACAGAACTATGGTTTAACATAGTACTCTAACATTACAAATATAATAATTAATAATGTAATAATCTTCAAAATGTCTAATAATATAGCTTATAATCATTACCACTTAGGAAATAGATAATTTTCTAATAAATCTGTCACTCCAATTTTTATTGTGAGATAAGACAAATCATAACATGATAACAAGAGTAAAATATTTAAAAATTCCACTTTTGGATATTAAAAATGGCGATAACTCAAAAAGGAGAAACACTAAAATCTTGAAAATTGAACAGGACCTTCATTAAGTCCCAGGAAACAACATATCTAAATTTGAAAAAAAAATGTAACAGCGTTTTCATGTTATTGTGGAGACACTGTTTGGTAGCCGCCCGTCCGCCCGCCCAACCGCCCGTCGTACATCCCCATTTTAATAACCGATATGTCCATCGAAAATCCGGTTAAAAATAAAATGACAGCTTCTCATTTGCATATCACCTCAAAGGTAAGAAATAAATTAAAAGTTTCATGTTAACAATCTTAAAATAGAACAAAACATAATCAGTAAAATTAATATATCTGAATCAGCAAAATTCTTAGTAAGATCTAAAAATAACATGACAGCTTCTCATTTGCATATCACCTCAAAGATAAGAAATAAATTAAAATCTTCATACATAAGCAGTAAAATTAATATATCTGAATCAGCAAAATTCTTGGTAACATTTAAAAATATAAATGTGGATAGTGTGGACACGGATGATGCCCCCGCTTGCATATCATATAGTTATAAAGGGACATAACTGAAGAACGGTAAAAGTGACGCTACCCAAAAATTTGGTGGTAATAAGCATTGTGTGTAAGTCTCGTAACACTTGGTTGAGGCTAACTTAAGTAGAGAACAGAAACTAAAAATTCAGCAATTTTTCTATTTGTAAACACTCATAATCTAGAACGGTTGTGTATAAGTTTTATAACATTTGGTTGAGACAAACTAAAGTTAGAGAACGGAAATGAAAAATTCAGCAATTTTTATGTTTATAAAGGGACATAACTCAAGAATGGTAAAAGTGTCGCCACCAAATTTCATACGTAATCTGTATTATGTACTAATAAGCATTATGTATAAGTTTCATAAATTTTGATTGAGGCAAACTAAAGTTAGAAAACGGAAACAAAAAATGTGTACTTGATCTTAGTTTTGTGATAATGAATATTGTGTATAGGTTTCATAATGTTTGGTTGGGGCAACTTAAGTTACAGAATGGAAACTTAAAATTTTGCAATCTTTCGATTTATAAAGGGGCATAACTCAATAATGGTTAAAGTGACACTACCCAAATTCAACTTCATCTGTGTTTTATCAGTGGAAGTCATAATTAAACATTGCATTGTATAAAGCATTGATTGTAGTTGATTCAACTATAATCATGGACGAAGGAAGATAACTCCAATTTTAAAAATTTCTTGATATTTAGAAGAAAATAAAAATTTTGCAATTTTTCCATTTACAAAGGAGCATAACTCTAGAACGGTTTCAGTGACGCCACCAAAATTCAAACTTGATCTGTGTTTTGTGGTAATAAGCATTGTGTATAAGTTTCATAACATTTGGTTGCGGCAAACTCAAGTTAGAGAACGGAAACTAAAAATTTTGCAATTTTTCCATTTATAAAGGGGCATCACTCTAGAACGGTTAGAGTGACGCCACCAAAATTCAAACTTGATCTGTGTTTTGTGGTAATAAGCATTGTGTATAAGTTTCATAACATTTGGTTGCGGCAAACTCAAGTTAGAGAACGGAAACCAATTATTGGACTTTCGGAAGGACGTACGTACGTACGTACAGACGGACAAGGGTAAAACTTTATGCCACTACCGCTACGGCGGTGGCATAAAAATGATAGCTTTTCATTTTGCATAGCACTTAAAAGATAAGAAATAAATTAAAAGTCAAAACATTGTAAGGGAGGTAACTCTTAATGTAAAAAAAAAAAAACACAAACAAGAAATTGATCAAATATAAGCAATTCAGCGTAGCAAAAACCCCTACCAATCAGTTTTTGTTGAAATCAAATAAAGTTAAATTTAGCTCCTTTGGACTAAATTGAAAAATGGACTCAAAATCCAAAATCTATATACATTAATTGATTAAATTCAGCATATTGAAATCAATCAAAGTTTAATTTTGCACCCACTTAGAACATGGCCCAAAATCAAAATCAAAATTCTAAACACATGGTAAGATTAAGCATATCAAAAACCCCAATATTTGAATATGATTCAATGCTAGATATCATTGCATACTGATAACATGCATAATTTTTTATTTTACTTACCATTAATCTAGCCTTTTGTTAACTTCCACACACAGATGCAGGATTCAAGTAATGTTTGCGTATTTTAGAATAATGTAAAAACTTGTACTAAAGTAAACCTAAATTTTGTGCGAAACTCGTACTAAAACCGAACTAATTTTGAGTATGGAAATGAAATGTTTGGTCAATACATACAACCATAACACAGAGGACAATTTTCCATTTATAAAGGGGCATAACACAACAGCAGAAAAAGTAACATCACTCAAATTAGAACTTGATCTGTGTTTGGTAATAATAAGCATTATGTACAAGTTTCAGAACATTTGGTTATGACAAAGTAAAGTTAGAGTGCGGAAACTACAAATTTGCCAATATTTCCATTTGTAAAGGGATGTAACTCTTGAACGGCAAAAGAAACACCACCCATATTCGAACTTGATCTGTGTTTAGTATTTTGTATAACTTTAATAACACTCAGTAGAGGGAAACTAAAGTTAGAGAACGGAAACTAATTATGGGACGTACGGACATAGTTAGAGAAAGGAAACTAAAAATTTTGCAATTTTTCCATTTATAAAGGGGCATAACTCTAGAACAGTTAAAGTGACGCCACAAAAATTCAAACTTGATCTGTGTTTTGTGGTTATAAGCATTGTGTATAAGTTTCATAACATTTGGTTGAGGCAAACTTAAGTTAGAGAATGGAAACCAATTTTGGTACGTACGTACAGGCGGACAAGGGTAAAACTTAATGCCCCCTCCACTACGGGGGCATAAAAATGCTGTCATGGATTCATAAAACAATCATGATATTTCACAATATTCACTATTGGAGATCAAATCTATGGAATATATCGTTGGTTTTCGCGTTTGAATGGTTTTACACTGGTAATTTTTGGGGCCCTTTATAGCTTGCTGTTCGGTGTGAGCCAAGGCTCCGTGTTGAAGACCGTACTTTGACCTATAATGGTTTACTTTTATAAATTTTGACTTGGATGGAGAGTTGTCTCATTGGCACTCATACCACATCTTCTTATATCAATATACTGTTTACATATGTTATGCACATGCATGACACAAACAGTAATCTTAATTGTAAGAAAACCAGCCAAAGAGGATGGTTAAAAATTTTAATGGTAAATTTTTATTTTATTTCCTTACTATATATAAAAAAATAAGAAGATGTGGTATAATTGCCAATAAGACAACTCTCCACCAGAGACCAAATGACATAGAAGTTAACAGCTATATGCATTGCTACTAAACAGTTGGATATGGTTCAAGAGATAACATCCAGAAATCAAAATTTTGCCCAAATTCCAGACTATGGAGGCCGCTGTGACCTTAATAATTGACCCAAAAATCAATAGGGATCTTATCAATCTATGGAGTATTATTGAACCAAGTCTATTAATAGCTGCTTTGATCTTGACCTTGACCTTAGACCAATTAACCAACAATATCCATAGGGGTCTTCCTCTTCCCATTGGACATTATCATGCCATTTGATAAAGATATTCCTAATGGCCCAAAAGATTTTGTCCAGAAACCAAAATGATGACTCCTGGACCTATTAAAGCCGTGATCTCATTCTTCATATTATCAGGGTGAGTTCCGACTTCGCCCCCAACTTGCCTAAAAAATACACAAATTTCCCGGAAGCTATCAACATCAGTGATATTGAAGGATTAATGAGTTTCTGAAGTATTTATAATTCATATTCCTTATAGCAATAAAATGCTCCGCTATTAATAGAAATAACCAATTTAAAATAGAAAATTAAAAAAAAAAAAAAAAGGAAAAAAAGGAAAAAAAAATTCCCCCCCAATTTTTTGAACCCCCTTATGATTCATCACCCCCAAACTCAATCCCAGCCTTCCCTTTGTGGTATGGTACCTTGCAGTACAATTTCAGAGAGATCCATACACTTAAACACAAGTTATTGTCTGGAAACTAGAAAAATGCTTGTTTTTTGGTCCCTTTTTGGCCCCAAATTCCTAATATTTAGGGCAATTACCCCCAAACTCAAATCCAGATTTCCCTTTGTGACATGGAACCTTGTAGTACAATTTCAGAGAGATTCATACACTTGAACACAAGTTATTGTCTGGAAACTAGAAAAATGCTTATTTTTGGCTCCTTTTTGGCCCCTTATTACTAAACGTTTTGGGCAATTACCCCCAAACTCAATTCCAGCTTTTTTTTTGTGATATGGAACCTTGTAGTACAATTTCAGAAAGATCCATACACTTACACACAAGTTATTATCATGAATCTAGAAAAATGCTTGTTTTTTTCCCCTTTTTTGGCCCCTAATTCCTAAAATTTTGAGGCAATTACCCCCGAAATCAATCCCAGCATTTCCTTTGCAATATGGAACCTTGTGGCACAATGTCAGAGAGATCCATGCACTAACACACAAGTTATGTCTGGAAGTTACAAAAATGCTTATTTTTGGCCCCTAATTCCTTAACTGTTGGTACCATAACCCCCAAAATCAATCCCAACCTTCCTTTTTTGGTATTGAACCTTATGGTAAAATTTCATAGAGATCCATTCACTTAAACTAAAGTTAGAGTGCGAAAACCAATGTGTCTTCGGACGACGACAATGACGACAACGCCATACCAATATACGACCGCAAAATTTTTTGCGGTCGTATAAAAACGTATACATATTATACACATCTATGCTTTGTTTCAAATATTTGGAAAACTGAAATTATCATATTCACTGTTTGGTAAATGCGACACTATTCGAACAGCGGTATACTACTGTTGCCTTTATTTATGGCTACACAAAATTAAAACTAGGCTAGTTTATTAAAATCAACAATGTCTTCTTTTGAAGGGTTTTTAATTACATAATGGGAGCATACATTCACATTAAGTACATAAAGGTGTAAATCAATACACTAATATACTTATCTACCATATCACAGTAAATATATTTATAATACTGCCATGAGATTATTTACATGTTAAATCATTGCAATAAATGTAGAGAGAAATTCTAATCAAAGTGCTTGTGAGCACTGAAGGGTAAAGATTGATTTCATTTTGCAATTTAGTGAATTTTTAAATTGAATTTTATTTTGCTTGGCAAGTTAAAAAATTGAGTTGAGACTTATCTTTCTTTGTTCATGATTGTACATTTGTAGTTGAACCTATTTTTATAACAGATTCATACACCATGCATTACTTCTGTAATTTTTAATAAAAACATGTTTTCTTGACAAGTATGGTAATTCAAATACACATCATATTGTAACTTAAAAATATCAAAGTATAATATATCATCAATAAGTTGCATGAAATAGACTGGATAGGATCTAAATAATGATCACTACAGTGCATTTTTTTATTTGAACTATCAAAGGTAGTGATCAACCTTCAAAGATATAGATATCAGTCAGTACCATAGGGTTTCATGCAATCTTTACCCCAAAAAAATTCATAAGGGGTTCCGCAGAACCCTGTGTTTCGCCTGCGATTGCTGCTGTCAGTGTAAAAGTGTAATGTTGACTTAAATTAAAAAGTGAGCCCATTTATCAGAAAAATAGAGAATTTAAAAAAAAAATCAATCTTTTTCTTTAGATGCTATTTCTTGGTCTTGAAGATGAGCTTCTGTCCAAGTTTCATAACAATCCATGAAGTTTACAAATTTATCATGTAAAAAAAATTTAATCCCAGACTGTAAATGTTAACTGTAAATAAACTGCTCCGCAGGGCTCAGCTTGATACGACCGCAGAGGTCGAACCCTGAACAGTTGGGGCAAGTATGGACACAACATTCAAGCTTGATACAGCTCTGAATTTGGATTATGATTAAATATTTGACAAGGCATAGGTTTCTGACACAGAATGAATGTGGTCTAAGAACTTAAAAATTTTAAATTGGACATTCACCTATTATGGTCCAATATCCAAAATCTAAATACATGGTTAGATTCAGCATATCAAAGAACCCCAAGAATTCAATTTTTGATGAAATCAAACAATGTTTAATTTTGGATCCTTTTGACCTCAATGTGGACAAAGTTGATATCGGGGCCCAAAAATCAAAAATCTAAATACATGGTTAGATTCAGCATATCAAAAGAACCCCATATATTCAATTTTTGTTGAAATCAAACAAAGTTTAATTTTGGACCCCGTTTTGGACCAACTTGAAAACTGGGCCCATAATCAAAAATCTAAATACATGTTTAGATTCAGCATATCAAAGAACCCTAAGAATTCAATTTTTGTTAAAATCAAACTAAGTTTAATTTTGGACCCTTTGGACCTTAATGTAGACCAATTTGAAAACGGAACCAAAAATTAAGAATCTAAATACACGGTTGGATTCGGCATATCAAAGAACCCCAATAATTCAATTTTTGATGAAATCAAACAAAGTTTAATTTCGGACCCTTTTGACCTCAATGTGGACCAATTTAAAAACGGGGCCCAAAATCAAAAAACTTAATACACGGTTAGATTCAGCATATTAAAGAACCCCAAGAATTCAAGAATAAAACCCCATTGAAATTGGTCAAGAAATAAGCAATTTATACGAAGTATCTTCTTTTGCACAATACTGTGCAATTGAATATTTCTTGCTATTGTGCAATACTGTACAATTGACAATTTATTGCTATTGCGCAATATTGTGCTATTGGATATTTCTTGCTATTGCGCAATGCTGTGCAATTGAAGATTTCTTGCTATTGCGCAATACTGTGCAATTGAAAATTTCTTGCTATTGCACAATACTTATTATATAATAATTTACACATCCTGTTTGGTGTGTATCTCCTACCATATCATTATTATTTGCTTTTAAATATAAATCAGAAAATAACCAACTTAAAATGGAAAATTTTAAAAGAAAAAAAAAAGGAAAAAAAGAAAAAAAAGGAAGAAAAAAAAAATCCCCCCCCCCAAATTTTTTGAACCCCCTTATGATTCATCACCCCCAAACTCAATCCCAGCCTTCCCTTTGTGGTATGGTACCTTGCAGTACAATTTCAGAGAGATCCATACACTTGAACACAAGTTATTGTCTGGAAACTAGAAAAATGTGTTTTTTGGCCCCTTTTTGGCCCCTTATTACTAAACGTTTTGGGCAATTACCCCCAAACTCAATTCCAGCTTTTCCTTTGTGATATGGAACCTTGTAGTACAATATCATAAAGATCCATACACTTACACACAAGTGATTGTCCTGAAGCTAGAAAAATGCTTGTTTTATGCCCCTTTTTTGGCCCCTAATTCCTAAAATTTTGAGGCAATTACCCCCAAAATCAATCCCAGCCTTCCCTTTGTGGTATGGTACCTTGCAGTACAATTTCAGAGAGATCCATACACTTGAACACAAGTTATTGTCTGGAAACTAGAAAAATGCTTATTTTTGGCCCCTTTTTGGCCCCTTATTCCTAAACGTTTTGGGCAATTACCCCCAAACTCAATTCCAACTTTCCCTTTGTGATATGGAACCTTGTAATTCAATTTCAGAAAGATCCATACACTTACACACAAGTTATTATCATGAAACTAGAAAAATGCTTGTTTTTTGCCCCTTTTTTGGCCCCTAATTCCTAAAATTTTGAGGCAATTACCCCCAAAATCAATCCCAGCATTCCCTTTGCGATATGGAACCTTGTGGTACAATGTCAGAGAGATCCATACACTAACACACAAGTTATGTCTGGAAGTTACAAAAATGCTTATTTTTGTGCCCTTTTTGGCCCCTAATTCCTTAACTGTTGGTACCATAACCCCCAAAATCAATCCCAACCTTCCTTTTGTGGTATTGAATCTTATGGTAAAATTTCATGGAGATCAATTCACTTAAACTAAAGTTAGAGTGCGAAAACCAATGTGTCTTCGGACGACGACGACGACGACGACGCCAACATCATACCAATATACGACCAAAAAATGTTTAATTTTTGCGGTGGTATAAAATTGAAGTCCATCTATCAGAAAAATAGAAAAAAAGGAATAAAATATATATTTTCAAGGGTTTGCTTCAGACATTATCTTTTAGGCCGTATCTTTTAATCATTAAAAAGCAAAGTTCAAAAAAACTCTATGAAGGTTTGACAAAGTAATTGATGTGTAACAAACTTAACCCCACACTAAGTCCATTTATCAGTAAAATACAGAAAAATGAAAATAAATATTTCCCAAATTTTGCTCTGGATACTACATTTTGGTCATAAACACTCTTCTGTCCAAATTTATAAAATTCCATGAAGGTTTGACAAAGCTATTGATGACTGAAAAACTTTAACCTCAGACAAAATCAGAAGTTATCTGTTAAAAAAACTAAGTCCATTTATTAGTAAAATACGGAAAAATAAAAATAAATATTTTCTAAATTTTGCCTTGGATACTGTATTTTGGTCATAAACAAGCTTCTGTCTCAATTTTATAAAATTCCATGTAGGTTTGACAAAGTTATTGATGTCCAAAAAAATTTTAACCACAAACTTAACCTAAATGTTGACGCCATCGACGGAATCTATGATCACTATGTCTCGCTTTCGCAAAATAAATTTCACAGGCTCAACCAAAAGGGAAGGAAACTCCAACAAATTTCTCATGACTTCATATTTTTTATGTGTTCTGTGAAATCATAATGATTTCTATGTTGACAACACACATCCTAAGTTTGTAAATGAAAATAACAATAAGTTTCTCTTTAAAACAAGATAATCGTAAAAAATAATAGTAAAAGATTGAAGTGCACTAGCCTTAAAAGGTTTTGACTCCATTAACTTTGAGGAGTCCTGCTAATTTTAATAATGTTAATTGAAAAAAAAACTCCCGAACCAATGCCTACTAAATTTCCTGTTGGTAGAGTTCCCTCATGTGGACAGCGATGGTATGCAAAGCTGTCAAATAAAAATAATTAACTGCAACTTGTAAATGAAAATTTAGTAAGATAATAACTAAATGCAGTCATTAAGTGTGCATCTTTTGACAAGGTGGTGAAGGATATAAACATCCAATGAAACAAAATAATACTGTAATCAAGTGTACATGTATCTGTTAAATTTTGTTTTTGTTCAGCAATCTACACCCTATACCAGTAGGAAGTGTATACAGAGAACTGGAACCCTGCCAATTGTGAATCCTGCCAATACAAATTATTCTGTAGCATTATAAAGCAGTATCTGGTATAAGTTGATACACAATGATTTCACATATAATTTTTATAATAAACTTGTGATGTATTATTTCCTTTTAAATAATACCACTATAAATCACATAAATAATTCACTTCAATACACATACATACTATGCAAAACTTTATTCATTTAAAATGATATGAAGATGTGAGCAACATATAAATCACCATCATTAATACATTTGTTTTATTGTCATACTTCAAACTTCTATACAAGATAATATTAAAATGTATTATTATTATTTCTTTAACATCAGAAATTCTTTGCATGAATTTAACAAAACTGTTGATACTGGTGTTAACAGTCAATACACCAATTTGTGTTATCTCAAAATTTTTATAAAAATGTGTAACTTAATTGTACTACAAATGTTGTATGCAAAACTACTACATGTATATGTTTTGTATCCTTAAGAAAACATTTAACAAATTACAAAATTAACACTAAAATCCAAGAAACTAACAGGAAAATACAAAATGATATGTAAATCTAAAATTACAGAAACAAGATGATTAATGCCATCACAAAAGATACCATGATTATAAGTGACTATGTCAATATATTTTGGGAAGTTTTAGTTGAGATTAATTCTATAAACACCAAGAAAAATCAAAAGTTTCAAATGAATAACTGAGTATGAATCAAGTCAATGTGCGGCAACATATAACTGTTAATCCCAATAATGTGTACATAACTTCTTCTAATATGAATGTGCACAACGTTCCCTTCTCAACATGCTGATGCAATATCATGTTATCTTCCTCATAGACCTTTCTGTATTCTTCTGCAAATGTTTTATCAGCCTCATGGTATACATTTTCTATATATTATATTTTACTAAAATGACAAACTATTAGATCTGTTCACATTGAAGTTCTTTGAAAAATGTTATAATTATGTTAGTTTCAAAATATCTGATTTAGACCTCTAAAAATCATTACAAAGTTTTCCACATTATAAAACACTTTAAAAATATTAGTAATTCTACAATAACACAACTCATACTAAAAAACAACTTTTGGATAAATAACAAATATTTCTATAAAACAGTGTTTACATATTATCTACCAGTAAATTCAGTGATGTGTGAGAAGTTAACAGATTTCAAAGTAAGAATGAAACGCCTAAAACCTCTTGTTGTCTGATCAATCTCGAAAAAAAAATTCGTCCCGACACCAGCTATTTTTCAAATTCATGAATTTGGTATGTACACATCAAATTGAAAATTCAACTTTTGAAACACCTATACTATAGGACTTGTTCAAAACTCAAAGAGTTCTACAGTGTTTACTACAATGCTGAGAACAGGGAAGGTAGAAACATGGTAAAAGTCAGTGTTAGTACTCAATTTACTAAAGTTTGGACTAATATGATTAAATTGGTGAAAACAAATATCTCAAAACACTTAAATTTAACAAAATATTACTATTACAAACATATCAAAATACTTTAATTTAACAAAATAGTACTATTTGTTTACAAGCCATTAAATTTGGCAGTCATGGCACAATAAACAAAGAAGGAGGTATAAGAGCCACTATTTGGCCACTGAAGTTGAAAAAAAATTATAAATTTATTCAATCCTTTCAAAATTATGCTAACCTGTAGATAAAAAACAAAATGCTATTGGAAAAAACAAAAACTATTTGGCCACTGAAGTCGATAAAAATATTAAATTTATTCAATCCTTTCAAAATTATGCTAACCTGTAGATAAACAAGCATTCTGAGAGTATTGCATGGCAATACATAGTCCCCTACCGGGTAAAAATTCATTAAACTGGAACAAAATGCTAACTTGTTCTATAACTTGTCATGGTGTAAACAAAAAGAAAATATCAAGTCAATATCTTCAAGCATGACTAAAAACAGTGTGGAAAACTGAATATATGAGTGAAATTTTTCAAGTCCAAGGACCATAACTCTGCACAAAATTATCAGACCGAAACAAAAATTTGAACTTGATCTGTAACTTGTCATGATAAAACTATATACCAATTGTCAATCAATATCTTCAAGCATGATGAAAAAAAGTGTGGAAAACCTATAACATTCTAACATTAGATATGATTAATAGTTCTCTAAAATTAGATATGATGTAATACAATGTATATTTATTTTCAAGTTATAATCAAATATAATTAATAGTTCCAAATATTGTTTCTTTCATTTGTCACAAACAAATATAGATTTGTAACTTATCTATAAAATGTCAACAACTTTTATCTACACAATGTAATGTAATGAAATATATACCTTAATAAAAATAGATTATTATCTAATTAAAGCATTCAGAAAATTAGTTTATACAAAATAACATATAAACCTGCCACAAAATTCCTCAAACAATTTCCCAAAGAATGTCTTTTAAAAAATGAGTTATCTCCCTTTGTACCCGATTATATGGTTTAACATAGTACTCTAACATTAGTTATGGAGTTTTTTTATGGACCATAACTCTGGACTAAATCATCAGACTGGAACAAAATTCGAACTTGATCTATAACTTGTCATGATAAAACTATATACCAAATATCAAATCAAAATCTTCAAGAACGAAGATAAAAAGTGTGGAAAGCTGAGTTGCCGGACTGACGGATGGACAGACAGACGGACGGACGGACAGACAGACGGATAGAGTGCAAACCTGAAGTCCCCTTCGACTTCGTCGGTAGGGGACTAAAAACAAAACAGATGACAAGAATCTTTTAGCATAGAAATGGGATATGGGATGTTCCTGTGACATTATGGAAAAGTCATAATGCACATATATATTTGACTAAAAATTTCCATTTAACATGTATTCAGTAAAATTTATTATGGGCAAAAGCTTTCCTCAAAAAGATATATTTCACTCATATCATCTTTGCAACAGAGATCTTGTGGCTAAATCATTTATATGGTTAACATTGTAACTCATTTCTAAATATTTGAAAAAATCTAAAAAATAAAGCAACTGAAGTTTTTTTCCTTAAGTTATTAGGTCTTGGGCAAATTTACTAGGTTCACATATATAATCTTTGATATCTCTCAGATTAATACTTTCTGTGAATAAAAGATAATATTTTGATAGGTTTATGGAAAGACCATCAAGTGCAGTTATCAATACTTAAAATTTTACAACGTTGTAAATTGCACAGCAATATATCACTAGTCTACAGGAAAATGTATAAAATCATTATTATGGTACAAGCATTTTTCTGTGCTTGTGAGCCAACCAAACACTGATTGTAAATAATATATTATAAACATAAAACTGAAAATTATATTTTGCAGAAAACATATACAAGTTTAAGCTATACTATTTATAGCTTACATAGTTTTGGAGATTTATACCCTGTATTAAATGGATTGAACCTTTTACTGAATAGGAATGAAAAAATGACAGGAATTCAACAAATAAATAGGATTACAATATATAACACCTTGTCCCTTATCCATAATCATGGCATCCAGTTACCAAAATCATGTACAGCTTTTTCTTCTTTAACTCTATGTTGATGACTGGGTAACTGGAAACAGTCAACAGGGAATGCACTAACAGTTCGATTGTATAACATCAAACTGAACTCTAAACATCCGACTACATGAAGTTTGTGATCTTCTTGTATACTAACTATCGATGTCACATTTAAAAATCTGGTACATACTGCTCCTACTTTAGATATTGATCCTAAACATACTGTTGGTGGCTGTTCAGCTGTAAGAGATAAACCATAAGTACATCGAAAACAATACGAACAAAGTTAGAATTATGTCCCTGTACTTTTATTAACAGTCTGTGATTTTCAGTGTGTTTCATATATGTGACAGAATTAATGGACAGAGGCAGATTGGCCTTCAATTAATGGACAGAGGCAGATTGGCCATCAATTCTATGACATTAAATCAAACATTGACTCACTTAAATGTCTCGTCAACCCTAAGACTTCACCAAATATAAAACTATAGATACAAGTTAGTCTAACCCTAAGACTTCACCAAATACAAAACCATAGATACAAGTTAATCTAACCCTAAGACTTCACCAAATACAAAACTATAGATACAATTTAATCTAAGACTTCACCAAATACAAAACTATAGATACAAGTTAATCTAACCCTAAGACTTCACCAAATACAAAACTATAGATACAAGTTAATCTAACCTTAAGACTTTACCAAATACAAAACTATAGATACAAGTTAATCTAACCCTAAGACTTCACCAAATACAAAACTATAGATACAAGTTAATCTAACCCTAAGATTTCACCAAATACAAAACCATAGATACAAGTTAATCTAACCCTAAGACTTCACCAAATACAAAACTATAGATACAAGTTAATCTAACCCTAAGACTTCACCAAATACAAAACCATAGATACAAGTTAATCTAACCCTAAGACTTCACCAAATACAAAACTATAGATACAAGTTAATCTAACCCTAAGACTTTACCAAATGCAAAACCATAGATACAAGTTAATCTTACCCAAAGATGTGACAAAATGTTAAAATGTTAAGGTGAAAATAAAGTTTTCCTGAAAAAATAATAAACAAGACTTTAACCAGTAGGGACAACACAGACATTAAAAAATAAAATAGCACATAATACAACACTGAAAACTAAGGCAAAAGCAACATGAATCCCTTTAAAACAAACTATGGGTGATTTCAGGTGCTCCAGAAGGGTAAGCAGAACCTGCTCTACTAGTAGTACCTGTTGTGTATTTCATGCTAAGTACAAATACGATGATGAGTCTCATTCGATCACGTCACAATTGATTGAAAGTGGGACTGTGGTTACAACAACTGGCACATATAAGTGCTTATCTGTGATACAGATATTCTATAATAGACAACCAACTGGCGATAGTGTCCATACAACTTTCGAAGGGATGACTTCAAATTTATCATTTGGAACCCTATGATCAACAGCTAAATTGGAAGCAGCAACCCTCTATTAAGGAAATCATAATTGGAAACACAAGCCCTGTAATATTTTATCAATTGGGAGATATATACTCTTTATGGTCTACCAAATTCTCAAACAGCAGCAAATGTTTCATTTCTGTGGCAGTCTTGAATCTGATTCTTTAAATTAATTTACCTTAGTATGGATAGAAAAGTATTTTTACTTATAACAATCACACTGCTATTTCATGTTTTATTTACAGACATTATTATCTAATCATAATGAATTATTCAACTGTTGTCCCTTATTTTATTTGACTTTGCTATTGCTATTGCTGTCTCAAAAGAAGGGGACTGTTGATAGTTCAAATATTAGCCTGAGTCACTTTATGAATAGTAGCTATGAGCATGTGTATACTTAATTTTCATTTTGTAATGTGACAGTTTCTTTTCTCTTTTTTTCATCTTTCATGTTTTGTATGATCTAAATATGCTTCCATCAAAACAATCTGGCATAATTTTTCAACAAATATTTACTGTGAGGAAGAAGACAAGTGTTTTTGTCACTGTATAATCATAATAATTTGTAGATATTATTTGGGATGTTTACCAAACTTTCTGTACAACTCTTGCAGTCTTGTAAATTTCCTTTTCCCAAAAAATATCCAATGCATTAACTTGTTGTCTTGTGAATATCTACCAATTACTCAAACCTCTTTCAAATTATGACAATTTGTTTAAGTTGAAACAGAATTGTTTTTATAACATATATGTCAACCAAATTCACAAAGAGCAGAAATAAATATACTATATATGTCTAATGTATATGCCTGCTCATTACTTACCCGATATAATCTGTTTATCCAAAAGTTTTTTATCTAAAGAAAATCTGTAGTCAAATTCCTAAAAATAGAAGCACCAACAATGATTATGAAATTTTGAAATAAGTTGATGAATTAGATGTCATGATTCACTTTCAGGATCCTATGAAAACTTAAAAAATATTTTTTTAAGTCCAATGGTATGAGTAAAGGGATAAGTCTCCATATTAACTGTCATTAATTAAGGTAATATTAATTTCGAATTTGCTATAGTATGATACAAAGCATTTATCTACTGAAAGAGGAAGACCTACTGCAGAAATTTCAACCATTTGTTGCTGTTTATTCACCAGCATAACTCCATCACTAAAACTTCTTGTCTAAATACTACAAAGTTGATAAACAAGACTTGGTATTAGCTAATTATAAACAAACATATAAACTTGCCTGAGATTTTGTCATAAAAGTAAAATTGGCACATGCTGTATTATTTACATGCATTTTCTTCATCTCCACTCTACCACAACAGAAACATTCATAATCTTCACAGTCACAAAATCCAACACTGTTGGTCATAGTAAGATTTCTTAATGTTATTGTCTCATTCCCAACTGTCTCATTAATCTTCGATGACAGTAATTTTGGATAATTTATGCTAATTTTTTCTTCTTTTTGAAGATAAGAAGTATCTTTCATTATGCCGCCAACATCTTCCAACGATAAATTAAGGGGCCACAAACCTTGCTGATATAGTAATTTTTTGTACTGTTTTGGTTGAAATACACCAAAAGCTGACAGTTTTTCCAGTGTTTTATTTTTTACACTCTTTCCCATTTCTAAAGTTTTATTTTTAATTTTTTCCAGTACAATATTTAAGTTTCCCTTCACTTCTGGTGACTTCACTGATGTTTTATTTCCAGATATTTTATCTACTTTTGCATTCACTGATGTGACTTTAATATTTTTTTCAGAAATTTTCTTTTCTAAATTAGGGTTTTTTGTTTCCTTCTTTTTCTCTGGTGAATTCTTTTCTTTTTTCTTTTCATCCTGTTCCTTTTTGAATTTGTCAGATTCATTTTTCACCTCACTCAGTTGTGGTTTCTTGACCAGATCTGGTTTGGCAATAACATTATTGACAGTTCTGTCTTTCAAGCTTTTCTCTTCATTTTTTCTTAGAACAATCTGAGTCTTTGATAAATTATCCGAAAAACTTGTTCTTGTTTCTGTTTCTGTAAAGCAGAATATAGTATCAGTAATTTTTTTTATGAAAAAAAGCTATGCAAAGTATATTGTTTTATTTCAAATGATAATCGTCTTTCTGCTCAATTTAAAATAATAAATATTATTGTCATTTTAATAAGGCCAAAAAAAATATATGTGTGTTTATGGTTACATAATAAAAAAAAAATTAGGTACATGTAGGTAGGTCAGTATTTCCATTTTATTTTTTGCAACATGATTTTGATTTGTGTTGTCCTTCTTGTTGTAGTCCAAGTTGTCCATGAGCCAAGTTTACCTGTATTTTAATGATTGGATTATTTCCCGTAGTTATTAGTTGGAAAAAAGATGGCAGCAAAGTGTTTATTTCATCACACAAGTCATGAGTTTCCTAAAAACAGCTGTCATATTCAAGATTGTGAACATTGGGATGTATCAGGCAATTGATTAAATTTATTGGCAACTCTAACTTTGCATTTGACACGAGTTCAGTTAATTTTTCACTTTAGGATGGAAATAAAATGACTTAGGGTTGGCGCTCAAATTAAGTTGGTTGGGTAACTGTAAATCAACCTATTTTTTTTTTGGCCTAATATCACAACTATTTCTATGTGAAATTTGTAGTATTTTGCCTGATTAAAAAAAACATCTAAATCTTAGGACCAATTTTAACCCTTCATGAACTTACTCCTTGAACCACTATCATGACTATTCAACCTCTTGCAGGAAAAATGCCTACAATGCTACATCTCACTTGTGAGATCAACAATTGAGTATAGAGTGGTACAATGTAATTTTGGACCCATATATATATATACATATACATTTGTGTATGAAAGGTGACTTTAAAAAAATTGAACTTATACAAAGAAGAGAGGTGCCTGTTTCATTAGCTGAAATTACCACTCAAAAGTAGAAAGTACTATTCGACGGCTGCTGAGTAATTTTGAACTCCAGACACTCCAGAAACAGAAAAATAATTAAGGCAACCATTCCTATACAATATAGCAGAGACTGATAAACTATACTACCTCACACAAATCAAAAACAAAAGACTATGTAATGATCAATCACTTTCAGAATAAATAAACAATCAATTCTAAGTGCTATAAGACTAACGTTACAGCACCCAAATTGCACCTATTTAGCAAAATCGCAGCGAAAATCTTACAAGTTTTCTTAGGGACTAAACAACTTGTATTTTTTTTATTACTTGACATTATGCTCGTCTTTCAAATAAGTAAATATATTTAAATATTCACAAAACGTTCACAGTATATATCAACAGATGAAGTATTCACTGGAAAAAGTAAAATCTGCAGAAACGTCGCCATGCGACGTCCACAAAAAGTCATCTTTTAAAAATGACCAAATAAAATATGTTACGAGCATCCATTTCTTAAAAAAAATGTATAGTAAACATGGACTAATGTCAAATTGTTCTAAATAATTGAAGAAATAGAACAAAACATCTGTTATTCGATTTTTAAGGATGTGAATTTACGCATGGATGCAATTTGGGTACTCTTCATTGCAGAATCATGGATCGTTTGGAGGTCGGTTCAAACCCATTTTTCTATGATTCAATATGGATTCAAAATTAAATTGGTGAAACTATATAGTAAATAGTGATGCATCTACAAAATAAACACAGAATGGAAACTTTGTCTGGATCATAGATAAACGTAGGTGAAAAAACTGTCAAAATAGGTGCAATTTGGGTTCCCACACCTTACATGTTTTGACACAAACAATGAAATTTACAAACAGTGGTCTCTTTAGCCCAAAATAGAAGGGCCCCGCGCCCTGGGTGCCATCAGCCACGCCCTGGGTGCCCTCAGCCGCGCCCTGGCTGCCTTCATCCGCGCCCTTCTGCCCCGACACCTTTTTCCCAAAAACCCTTGTGCCGTTTTGGTAAAATCGCCTTTTGTTTCATCGATTTCTTATCACAAAGTTAAATTACATATATGACACCAGGTGATTGCCCCCAGGTTAATCATGTCATTACAATCAATTACAGTGGATAAGTAATAACTAGGTAATTTAATTAAGACAATGTACCTTTTTGTCATAAATTTGATGAATGTGTCAGCGTGGGTCGGCATTTTCGATCTAAAACAAGAGTGTATAAATGAAGACTTTCATGACTTTAGAATAGAATTTAAGTCATCAAAATACAACTATGCCTTCACAGAAACACCGTCCATCTCAACTTGTGAGCGACAAGCAAACAGTTAACGTATTAGAAATTAATTTTGGAGTTACTTCCCCTGTTTTAGCTTATTACAAATTTGTGCTCCTAAAATATTATCTAGTATTAAAAATAGGAATAAATTACCAATTGAATACAAAATTATATAAGAATGTTACCTTAAGGATATTAACTGTCTATAATAGTAAGTTAATTTGCCTCTATTGGTTTATAGTGATGTGATGTATGAATGTGTATTTACATGTTTTATGAACATGTCGTATGAATTACATTTTCTAATGCAAATTTTATAGAATAAATAATCAAAACAACAACTTATGCATCTTTATTAACAACATATACAGTAAAAAAAAGAATGTGAACTCGTGATACACACAGAAACATAGACAAAAGAAATGAGCAGTGCCTTTTCCTTTCATAAAAAAGTGCCCTGCCCTCCACTGGCACCCTGCCCCTTTTGATTTCTAGCTGGAGCACTGACAAACAATCACTTTTTCCTGAACTATATTATTTAGTGGAACCAACTAGTGGTGGTTTAAACCCCAAAGGTCTTTAGATCAGCCCTGATCAGTAAGCTACAATCGCTCTCACTTCAGTTGTTTACATACCAAAGTTTTGGGTACTACAAAGTATTTTCACAGATTGCAGCGGTTTATTGCAAGGTACCAAAATAACCTGAAAAACTTTCGAAAACTGACAGTTATTACCCAAAGACTTCATTTTCTATGGTTTTATACAGCTCATATTGATAATAAAGACTATGATTTTCATATATATGCATATGTAACTTTACCTTAATTAAAGTACAATTTGACTTGATTAGGAATAAGACTTGTGTGTCTAGTATGCAAGTTCCTTGTAAACAATATTGAGGACAAAACTATTTGGATAAAGCTTTTGAAAAATTACATACGCCATGCTGTTTCCAAGGCACATGCATGCAAGGCACAAAAATAGTATTCCTATACTACATGTATGAAAGTTAAATTGTACTTTAATTAAATAAAAGTGACATATATTCCAAAATTATAGCCTGTATTATCAATATAGGCAGTATCACATTATATAATGTAGTTTTCATATAATATCATTCAGTTTTCTGGTTTATAAGCAGTTTTCAGCAGTTTTCAAGTTATCAGTGTACCAGTTTATTGCATGGTAAATAATTTGTTTAAAAATCCTTTGAATAAGTAAGTAAGTAAATTTTATTTAAAGTCGGCATATATGTACATAGTAACAGATAAAGCATGAGCTCTGGTGAGCTTTTTAACCGACTATAATATAAAAATCCTGCAGCTTCATGCAAATACTAATTAATAAAAATTCGTAAGGGTTCCGCGGAACCCAGTGTCTCGCCTACTTTTGCTGTTAATTGCAGGCTCAACAAAAATGAGGAAAAAAATTAATAAAAATATTCCTCTCTATACTATCTTTTGATTGTAAGTAGCTTCTGTCCAAGTTTGGTAAAAATCCAGGATGGTTTTTGAATCTAATAAATGTTTTTAAAACTTTAACTGCAGACTGTATGTAAAGTTAACTGGAAGAAAAACTAAGTCCATTTATAAGTAAAATACGGAAAAAATGGAACATATTTTTATCAAAATTTTCTTCTAGATACTATCTTATGATCATAAATAAGCTTCTGTCCAAGTGTAGTACAAATCCAGGATAGTTTAAGAAAGTTGTTAAAATTTTAAAAACTTTAACCACAGAGTGAATGTAATGTTAACTGGCAGAAAAACTAAGTCCATTTATAAGTAAAATACGGAAAAAATGGAATTTTTTTTTTACAAAATTTACTTCTGGATACTATCTTATGATCATAAACAAGCTTCTTTCCAAGTTTGGTAGAAATCCAGGATAGTTTAAGAAAGTTATTAAAATTTCAAAAACTTTAACCACAGAGTGAATGTAATGTTTCCTGGCAGAAAAACTAAGTCCATTTATAAGTAAAATACGGAAAAAATGGAATTTTTTTTTTACAAAATTTACTTTTGAATATAATCTTATGATCATAAACAAGCTTCTGTCCAAGTTTGGTAGAAATCCAGGATAGTTTAAGAAAGTTATTAAAATTTCAAAAACTTTAACCACAGAGTGAATATTTGTGGACGCTGCCGACGACAACGACGACGACGCCGACGGAATGTAGGATCGCTATGTCTCGCTTTTTCGACAAAAGTCGAAGGCTCGACAAAAATGAAAAAGCATGCAAATACATGTATAATGAAAGCAAATTAATTTGATTTCTGAACCTCCAGGGTCAATGCTCATGTGGCAAACACCTCTATGTGCATTGAATGAGGGAACCAGCAGTCACTTTGTGCTTTTGAATAAGGATTTGCTTAGCTGCTCTGACCTCTTAATCGATAAATTGACGCATTATTCTACAGAACAACTTTACAATTACATTAATTATTGCAGTGGCAAGAATTACAGCGCTGATAGAACTATAGTACTTTGTTATCGCCAATAATGGCAATATCGGTAGTTTCCATACCGATATCGTATCATAGTCTTTCAGGTTCATCATAACAAATGGACAAAAATGGCTGTATTTCCACCTCAAAAACTACTCTGAGTACAGACTTACATGTAAGTCTCTACCCGTACTGTACCTGTCCAGTTGGAAAAGTGTTAATGCCTGGCATCCACTAGATATATAAAAGTTAAATGCATTTTGTGTTTCAGAAAGATAAAATCTGTTTTGGATTTTGATGGCCATTTTTTTCCTTTCTGCAGAAGGTGTAAAAATAAACTAAGTTGGGATAAAACTTTGAGATACTCTCTCTCAGGTAAAAACTGTATAGTATTGTACTGATTGTCCTTGATTGACAGGGACAAAAGACAGACAATAGGTATCTACACAACTATAGGTGAGTTAAAGGGTTTAACTGAGTGGGCAGTATCAAAGCAATTCAGGTGTTTTTTTATTTTTACACCTTCTGCAGAAAGGAAAAAAAGTGCCCATCAAAATCCAAAAGTGATTATATCTTTCTGAAACAAAAAATGCATTTAACATTTATATATCTAGTGGATGCCCGGCCTTAAAACTTTCCAAACTGGACAGGTAAGTCTGTACACAGAGTAGTTTTTGAGGTGTAAATACAGCCATGTTTGTCCATTTGTTATGATGAACCTTATTTCAATATTTGGCTTAAGTGTAACTTATTTGTATCATAGTGACAGGCTAGTGTGCTTACTTGATGGTTGAGGCAAGGATAAGAAAATGTAAATCATCCAGAACGTTGTTACACATAATATTGCAAATAGAAATTGTCGCTTTTTGTATAATAATCTCAAAATTGCCATGTTCCCGAAACATTCTTTTTATCATTCAATGTCAAGTTGTAGCATTTATTGCAAATTTAAATTTTACTAAATTTGAAACGCAGATGTGATGTCTAAATGACAAGGTTACATTTTCGCCACATCTATGGTTCGTCCTATGCATACATAATAGGCAATGACCGTAAAGTGTCATTATGAAATCGGGTAAAAAGGGTTTACAGTTGGACACCAAAAAGAATCGAACTAATAAGATCTAACAGGGTTTTTTAATTACCTTTATAACTTGCGTGACGCAAGGAACTCGATTGAAAGAAAGCAAACTTTATTTCAATTTGAATAAAACATGTAAACATAAACTGACCTAAAGAGATTCAGGCGGAATCAATGTAAAAACGTATACAAAAACAAATTAAACCACGGTGACAATGGCTGTGGGAGAGAAATATCGATTCTATACCGATCAAATCTATCGAGATGTCAGCTCGACATTAAAGGGTGTTTAATTATACGTACATGCCTCGAAAACTAGACGCCATAAACAACTAGGAAATATGAGGATAACTATGGCACGCCTGAACCACTTTTATTAATTAATCTTAGATTATCTCAGATAAACTAGGATTATCTCAGATAATCCCGGTTTATCTCAGATAAACTAAGATTATCTCAGCTTAATTCAAATTCGAGAAAATCCTAGTTTATCTCAGAAAATACAGAAAATTCATTATCTGGAGAAAATCCCGATTATCTCAAAATATTAAGAAAATCTAGGTTTTTCTGATCGATTTTCAGATAATCCTAATTTATCTCCAGATAATTAATTTTCTCAATTTCAGATAATGAATTATCTCATTTCTCGAGAAAATCTAGGTTTATCTCGGATTCTAAATATACAAAAGAACAATGTAACGAGTGTTTTAATTGGACGACACTGAATCCGGCGTTTAACGTTTTACTTTCTCTTTGAAACCATGATGGTGACGAATTCACTTCCTATTATTAGGTGAACGGGGATGTGCCAAAATATGGGTCATAATTTTGCGAGATTTTATATAAAAATTAGCGTCCTTTTCAGAGGAGGGGCGACATTCAGCATACGGCACGCAATTTTTACTGATCGATCGCTGTTATTGTGTCATTTATCACTACTCGTGGTGTGAACATCACCGTTATTGACACCTGGACAAGCGAAATTTGTTGAATCAATTATAAAAACAAGTAATATACAGAAGGGCTGATTATATACAATATACATATACTTTGTACATACGTAATAAACAAATTTGGTAGCTATTTCTTTTACACAAACTGACTGTTTATTACCGACGGCTAATTTCGACATCGATAATCATTGAATTCTCATATTTTAATTCATTCAGTCGGTTTTAATTTTTTAATCGTGACAAAGTTTTGTAAAATATTTAATTTTAACTATTGCGTTATTTCGTCATTTGTCAGTAAACAAAATAAATAGCACTAGAAAGAACCTAGGCAACTAAGTAATCCAATACACAAATGCACGATTCAATTATGGGAAAAACAATAATCATCATGGTTATTCATTAGACATAATTTTCATTTTGTTTTCAAAATAATTAAATACATAAGAGTTTATATGCCACGAACCTTAAAGCGCCAGTTATTAATTGTAGGATATAAACAATAAATGTACATTGTCTGAATACAAAATGTGTGTGTACTCGCTAACACGGGTGTCATTCGGTTTATCGAGAGAAATGATCGTGAAAGAATATCTAACGGAGGTCAAGTATTGCGAGACGATCGTGAAAGCTCTGGTACCGGATCGTGAAAGAAATTTAATCGAGAAGACATATGAAAAGTCATTAATTAAATAATCTAATTTAATTCATTACACGGACAAATTTACAACAAAATAAAACTGTCTGTCAAAATGGTCGAACATTATGATCAGTATGTGAGAAAATCCAGTTCTAAAAGTACATAGTTTTTACAAAACAACAAAAGGCATATTGCTCCTCGACATTTCAGTGACATCAAAAATGTAAACAAACATGATTTTTTCACAAATTCCAATAAAATAAACTATTTTTCTTCGAAAAAGGGCATTCTGTTTGAATGCATCAAATGGTTCTCATAGTTATTTTGTATAAACATAATCTGAAACTTGGTAAAAAAAGAAATATTTACACAAAATTGATATTTCGGATCGTGAAAGATCACGTACTGGTTTATGAAGATCGTGAAAAGGATCGTAAAAGATCTAATGCTACGAAGACGTTCATATTATTCTTCAATTATATGATAATTAATATTTGTTATTGGTATTAAAAAAAACTAGATTGGCATGACTGACCCGGGTCTCTTTTGCTGGTGAATAGGGCTATAATCGTGCAATGCCATTGGATCTAATATCTTATAATACCACACAGACTTGGTAAATTGTATCAATACCAGTCCATTTGTCCGTCCTTCATAAGTATTGTTTTTTTATACATTAAGATGTTTTATTTTGTATTTATAACTTTGAATTCTCATCTTTATGCCCATTATATTTATAAAGCTTGCATACCTGTATGCTATAGGGCCACGGTATTTGGTGTATGGTGTACATGTCTGTCTGCATGTTTCATATATGACGTCAATTGTATTTGATATATTGAATGATAGTAAGATGTCTGTGTCTGACTGTCGGTCAGGGTTCATATACTTTCGACCTCATGTTCCGAATTAATTGGCCAAACATAACTTTTACATTTGTCAGTTTCTAAGGTACTGTAAGCATCGGAACACCTATATTTGGTGTACGGGATTTTTGTAGATATCTGTATGTCATGGTTCATCTGACCTTGACCTCTTTTTATGAATCATTGACAATTTTAAGAGTATGTGACACTTCTAGTAAAACCCTTAATATTACAGAAGTTCAACAAATATACTATCATAAGTAAAGCAGACGAGACATTTCAGCATTTGCGCTCTGGTATTCTTTATTCTGTAATATATAGTTGTCTCATTGGAAATCAATCCACATCTGCTACGTTGTATACAAAGATACATATAACAAAATGTTGGTTATCGTTCAATCTCAAATTTTTCATGAAAGATGCTGTTTTTGCTATAAGTTTTTGGTTGATGGTTAACTTTTTGGTTTGAACGTTGCATACCCATATTATTGGCTAAATAATGGAGGTCTGCCTGATTTGTACTAGTCCGATTCTCAGAGCTGAATTTTTCACACTGATTTAGACACGTTTTAAGTTAAAAATTTTTAACTTTAGAGGTAAAGTGTTGAATTTAAAAAACAAATGATAGCTTTCATGTTCGTTCTTATCAAAAAAGTTACTGGCTTCAACCAGTTGCAGGTATATCAAATGGTAAAAGACATATTGATTTCTGATTATTAAGTCTGGTCACGCATTATCTTTCACGATCAAAATAATGCGTTGCCTGATCTATCACGATCAAGTTTGATAAAAAATCAACAAAATTCAAGGTTTTCATTAACAAATGAACGATTTTAAAGGAAGAGCATACTTTTATTTTACTGTACTTTCGGACACAACAAAGATTAAATTTCAAATATATCATGATATATTGAAATATGACCATTATAGGTACAAAAACGTGTTTTTTTAATTAATCCCATAGACATGCATTGTGCCTTTTGTGTTTTTTCGTAAAGTACTGCATATTTTCTTTATCTTATTGCACAGTAATGTTGAGGAAGTTGAATCATTTTGACAGACATATTTTTTTGTTCGGATTTGTTCCGCATTTTGAAAATTCAGCGATTTTTTCACCTATTCTGAAGTAGAATTTACATTTAATTACATTCACGATCCGGTACCAGAGATTCCACGATCGTCTCGCAATACTTGACCACCGTAAAATATTCTTTTACTATCATTTCTCTCGATAAACCGAATGACACCCGTGGCTAAGAAACAGGAGAAAACCTCTTCGTTCTGTTTCTAAATCTTGAACCAAAACGTTTTATTCTTACAGGTAAATGTAATTACAGGTGACAAGATTGTCAAAGCTTTACCTGTTATAGTGCTAATATATAACAACTGCCCCCAATAAATGTTCACATAACAGGAAAAAAGTAATAAAAGTTTGTTTAAGACTGTTCAAAACAATATTTTAATTCATGCACGAAAAAGAAATTTTGAAAGATTTATATTCTTATGGTTTCTGTTCAATCTTTTTCTCAAATATTTTATTCTAATAATATCTTTTGACTCGAAAACTAGCATATATTTAAGGAAGGACTTATCTTTTTAGACAACCAGTTGGATTTTTGTCGAGCCTGCGACTTTTGTCGCAGAAAGCTCGACATAGGGGGCCGTTAGCTAACTTCTTAAAAGCTTTATATTTTAGAAGGTGGAAGACTTGGATGCTTCAAACTTTGTATATAGATGCCTCATGTTACGAAGTTTCCGTCTGTCACATGTCCATTGTCCTTTACCTCATTTTCATGGTTCAGTGACTACTTGAAATAAAAAGTTAACATTTTTTGTAATGATAATGTCTCTCTTATTATGAGTAACATGATAACTATGTTTTGTATTTGCGTACCTTGCAAGGTCCTCATGTCCGTCAGACAGTTTTCACTTGACCTCGACCTCATTTCATATCACCATTCTGCATATCTATCTCCACTCTGTATATCTATCACCACTGTGTATATATATCACAACTCTGTGTATCTATCCCCATCCTGTATATCTACCACCACCCTGTATATATATATCACCACTCTGTATATCAATCACCTTTCTGTATATCTATCACCACTTTGTTATATATCACCATTGTGTATATCTATCACCACTTTGTATAGATATCACCATTCTGTATATCTACCACCTTTCTGCATATCTATCTCCAATATGTATATCTATCACCACTCTGTATATCTATCACCACTCTATGTATACCACCACTCTTTATATCTATCAACACTCTGTATATCTACTACCACTCTGTATATCTATCACCGTTCTGTATATCTATCACCACTTCGTTTATATATCACCATTCTGTACATCTACCACCACTCTGCATATCTATCACCACT